TCCGCTTGACTGCGCAGATGGAGCGGTTTTGGTCGATATTTTCTATTTTTTATTTGCAGTAAGACTTTTAACAAGCTTTTATTAGCTTCACCTGTATGTATGTATGTAACGAGTCACGGATTTTTTAAAATCTTAAACCCACTTTAAAAGCTCAGAGTGTGCTAAACTCCGAATTAACCTAATTTTGTACACTTGTCCAGAACTGACAATACAATAATTTAAAAAGTTTGTGTATTGTCCTGATCAGGATCTTCAGGATTAACGACTTTTTCCATATTTAACAATACGGTAGTGTTTTGTGCAACGTACGAAGCTGTCTTTAAAGAGAAAATAATCAACATTAAAGACTCAAAAAGCAAAAATATGTAAAACGATTTAAAAAACTAAAACAAACACTCTTTTCTAACTAGCTGAACTAAACAGTTGAAATAATTTTCTATGATTTCAAAAAAAAAATGTGATTTAAAAAAAAAAACATTTTTTAGAGTTAAATTTTATATTATAACCCAGTCTACACCATCATCATCATCAGCCTATCATCATCATAGTTCTGCACCGATTGAGCTCAAAACCCGCTTCTAAGATTATTTTTATCCATTTTCATGTTAGTTTTGTTCCTCATACCTCATCAATGCAACCACAATGTGCCAATGAAACTTATATACGTACGATTATAACGATATGTCAGTTTATGCCGTTAAAAATGTATATTTCGACTCTCAAGGGATTAAAAATTTATAGGATATTTTCCGTTGACCTAGAACTATGAAATTTGGCAAGTAATACCGTCTTATACTAAAAGCATAGGGAAAAATCTGAAAACTATACATTTGTACCTACAAATTTGTACGGACCCTCGGTGGGCGAGTCCGACTCGCACTTGTCCAGTTTTTATTTTAAATATTATATATATACAGATGACATTTTCCTGTATATATAAATACAGCTTATTGCCAAGAACACCCGCCCGCTACACTATTCAGTGGCTCTCAAATAATTCAGATCAATGACACACTTTCACTGAAGCAAGGTAATTTAAATTCTGACGTATTTTACGAGGTTTATAACTTACGAATGAAATCGAGAGTCGATCTTGGTGTAGATATTAAGGCTTCCCTTTATGGTAAGCCCAGTTTAAGATCTGAACGACAGCAAAAAAGGTTGTTTTTGTAGTAAAGGAGGCAAACAAGCAAATGGGTTACCTGATGGTATGTGACTACCTTCGTCTATGCATATCTGAAACTCAATAGGTGCACCAATTGAGTTCCGCGTTGCCGCCTTGTTAGTCCCTGTCCCCCCAGAATAAGGGGAAGAGGGTATGAGTTACAGCGGTAACCTTATTTACTCGGTAAAATCATCACCATCATCATCATTTCAGTCCTAATACGTCCACTGCTGGGCATAGGCCTCCGCCAAAGTTCACCCCAAAAATCGGTCCTGTGCTGCCCGTATCTAACAGCTTTTCGCGACCTTCACTAGATCGTTGGACCACCTGGTTAGGGGCCTACCCACGCTTAAAATTACCACCGGTTTTCTGAGTGCCGCGGTACTCCGGTCGAGCCTGTCCCATATTATGTGCCAAAACATGGCTCTCCACAGTAAAATCTCTGTGTCAAATTTCATCCAGATTAACTGCCAGAACAGCTCAGAAAGTGACAGAAACCCATTTAAACTTTCGCATTTATAACAGCTTTAAGATGCTGACACCATGATAGAAAGCAGCAATACATCTCTATGTTTTTCTCATCAAATAATTAACACTATATCGCCACACAAATTAAAATGAACTTTATAGTTTAAACGCTAAAGTACATTTAACATTGGCATGTTTACTTCAGGAGTTGAATGGCCGGTCATGCGCCTGTGTTTGTGTATACAACAGAGTCATTTGTCTGTGTGTTGTTATGTTATCATCCTTCTTCATGATTGGTCAAATAAATAGATGCTTGTTGGAATCCGTATTCATTTAAATTATCAAAAAATATGGTTAAGTGTGTATATTGCTAATGCAAGGGTCAAGGCAATGCAAGGGCAATGTAGGGCCCCGCAACTAAGTTTTTTTTCTAAGGGTTTACCAAGTAGGTTTATTTTACAAGATGATTATGATTCATTATTATCAACAGCCTTTAATAATTCACTGTTGGACATAGGCCTCTCCTTTTGGTTTGGCCTACTATACCACGCTGGCCAGACGGGTTGATATAGAGTTTGTGTCAAGTTTTCCTTCTCTTTGAAGTGCTGTTGTCCTGCATAGTTTGCTTCCTTAGTCGGCTCTTACGACACCTACGGGATGAATAGGGGTGGTGACACTACGTATTCTTAATCCGTCACCACACGGATATATAATAAAAAAAGTTGACTATGACTCTTAAACTGTCAGAGTTATTTAGCAGCGTTTCATTTTGCCAATTTGACGCCATTTATATATACCTAACTAAATATAGTTTTTCTCTATTTCTTCTTTTCCTAGATAATAATGTTCACCAGCACATTAGAACCACGATTTATAAACACATTTCTTAGATGCCGTGTTTTTTTTTACAAAACAATGCGATAAATTATTAATTAATGACGAAAATCGCGGCTCGACGTCAAACAGAGCATGTCCATCTCTCTGTAGGCATTCAAATGACGTATGTTTTTATAGACGTTTGATCTCACCGCTCAGGAAGACGCAGTTGGTTTTGGATAATAAATCTATCACCTATATGTTGGATAACATTCCTTGCTCTCACTGACTAACTGATTGATTCGTCAATGAGCGTTGCGTTGATAAATCTTGTTGGATTTACAAACTTATATTTTTGGCAGTTGATGCTTTTTAAGTTGTTGTGTCATTTTGCTGACACTATAGGACTTAGTAACTTGATGTTTCGATAGGCGAAACCAGAGGCCGTACGTTCGATTCTCATCCAGGTTAAATAATTTTGCTATAAGGATGAATATTTGTTCTGTGCCTGCGTGGAATTTATTTACAATATCTATGTATTTATGTATTGAGAAATATATAAGTATGTTTATCAGCAGACCGGTCACCACAGTACAAGCTCTGCCTAGTTTGGGCTCAGACGGCCGTGTGTAAAATGTGTAAGGTTGTTATTATTTTTTATTTGTCTACGTCTCCCCGTGGCAGGAGAAGGTAATTTGTACAACTGCTGGGTTCGTTGGATGTGATACCCGTTTCTCAGGCTCCCTCTTTGTAAGGGATTAGTTAATTCTGACGATCCTGTACAGGATAATGGGTCAAACCTATAAAATTCTTGAATTTCTTAAGTTTCACATTAATCCGACGTTTTGAAGTTTTTTATTATGGAAAAAGCACCTATGAGCACATGGGTCATCTGATGGTAAGCGACTACCGCCGCTCAAGAACACGACTGCAAGACAACTCCTGCGCTAGGAATATATCCCGTGCCCCGAGAGACTTCACAAACGGACATAAAGAACACCCAAACTCAGAACAACAATTTGTGAGTCACACATAGTGTTGTCGAATCAGGGGATTGAACTTACAACATTGAGCGTAGTAGGAAGCGGCGAGGTGGAAGCTTAAACCAGTTCACCATCCGTGCAATCAGGCAGTGCAGAACTTCGAGGTTATAGTACGCTCTTTCTTGAAGGTTTGAAGGTCGTATCGGTCCGGAAATACCGAAGGCGACAATTAGTTCCACAGATAGGTTGTACGAGGCAAGTATGTTCAGTAATTATATTTAATTTCGTCATATTATGTTACAAATACTGTCTGTTTAAATATACTGACTTTGCGAAATAATTTTAAAGTGAGTAATTCTTTTTAATGTAACATAATTACAGTTGATTTTTGCCACACATTATTACAGAGTGATGTGCATAAGTCTTTCTTTAAAGAAGAATAAAGAAGTTAGAAAGTTTTCATGTAAATCCGTCACAATTACAAAGCCGGGTCAAAGGATTTCCTTTCTAATGTAGAAGGACAGAAGTCTTAGTCTTCCACAAACCTAAGTTATCCCATCTAACGACAAATAAAACACAAAGCTAAATTATTAATAATTTCACACACATGGCCGCCTAATCCTAAACTTGGCAGATCCTGTGCTATGGTAACCAGACTGCTGATAAATATACTTCACATCACATCAACAGCCTTTAACAGTCCACTGCTGGACATAGGCCTCTCCTTACAAAGGAGCTTCCTTTGTAAGGAGAGGCCTATGTCCAGCAGCAGTCTAAATACATGCAAATCATAGATAAATTATATCCAGACACGGAACATATAATCGTACTCATTACATATTTTTTTCTGGACGAGAATCGAACCCACGACCTCTGGCTTAACATTTGGGATCACTAACTATTGGACCAACAGGCAAGACGAAAAAAGTCGAAAACTATAACCCGGCAATCTCGTGCGCGACCGTCCCGCGGGGTGACAGACAGTGGCGGGGGCGAGGTAGCGCGTTATTCTAGCACACGGCTACACACGATTCCCTTCCACGCTACACCACCCGCTACCCGCTGACATCTTGAGTACCTCGTCCCCGCCACCGTCTGTCACCCCGCAGGACGGTCGCGCACGACGATGATGGACTATAATAAACATTCTGAAGAAAATAATCAAACTACAACATTATCAAGTAAGTTATATGGTGTGAGCAAAATGAACTCTCTCACACGGTGATTAGGCCTAAAATCTATCTGTAAGCATTTCTGTTTAATAATCAAGTAGCCTAAACCTCCTTTCTAAGGAGAGGCCTATGTCCAGCAGTGGACTAGTATAGGCTGTTGATGTTGATGTGAATCAAGTAGCTGGGGCCGGTTTATGACATATATTTTAATGTCTTGCTCATCCTACGGAAATAATTCATATTTTCGTTTTAAATATATGTGCCAATCCAGGGTGTCAACTATCTCCATATAAATTTTTAACAAAATTGGTCCAGCCGTTTGAGAGTGAAAAATAACAAACTCACAAACTTTCGCCTTTTTAATATTAGTGGGATTGTATCTGCATTACTACTTACCAACATGGGTATGTTGGGGACCACTACAGCGTCATCGTCCAGACCCTTGCTCAGCTCCGGCTGGAATGTGTACGTTCTCTTGTAATTGAACGACAGAGTGCCGTTCTCGTTGTCCGTGATGTTCACCTTCTCCCATTCCTCTCTGGGAAAGAAGATTTTTTCAATAGAAATAGCATTGGGGGTAAACGTGGAGACGGGTGTTCTGCTGGTAAGTAGTAAGTAACGATGGTGCCATGGACACATGAAGCTACAGAATCGAAGTGAGTTGCCACCATTTGACCCTGAATGAACAGTCTGGCTTAAAACCAGGTTTTAAGCCAAGTAAGTAAGAAAGTATCATGTGCCGAAGTATGGCTCTATTTCACTACCATCAGGTTTTGTGACGTCATCAACCTAAATAATAATATTTTTGGACATCTAACACACTACGCCATGTAGTTTCAAACTAAGCAGAGCTTGTACTACGAGTTTAAAAGTTATTTAGTTAATTATAAATAGAAAACACCCAAACTCCGAAAAAAATATATTCGTAGATCATACAAACGTTTGGTCCGACCAGGGAATCGAACCCGAGTCCTCAGAAATAAATACTTGTTTAATATATGTTAAATACTCACGAGTACACATAAGGTCCTAACTCATCCAGGATGGGTTTGGAGCCGTTGTTTAAGAACTCATCTGCGTTGGTCACGTTGTACACGTAGACTTTGACGAAGGGCCTCACCGGGGGGCGGGCCCACCATTCGAAGGTCATCGAGCCTTGCCGGAGGACCAGCTCCTGTAGACAAAGATAGAAGATAGCTGGTTACTCATGGCACACTTCCAACATCAGTCAATTTAAATTTGTGCGTGTTTTATGGGTAACATTTGTGGAGAAACCTCGTACAGCAAAATGTAATTTGGTGCCATCTAGCGAGGAGTTGTCAAACTATGGAGTAATTATAATTAATATTTGTGCTTTCAGTAGCTTTTAGTCATCTATATCTGTCGGGACAGCTAGTATATAATATATAAAGATGTTATGTCGGTCAATGCAACCAGAGGGTGCCCAAGCGAAGCTTGTCACGGCTTGTAATATTATAAAGCTTTCATCTGATAATAATAATATTTCGGACATCTGACACACAACGCCATCTAGTTTCAAACTAAGCAGAGCTTGTACTATGAAAAGTATGAAAGATAGATTGACTGATAGATTGACTTTTCTTTTGTTAATACATACATACAGACTGCACGGATGGCGTAGTGGTTTAAGCGGTCACCTCGCCGCTTCCTACTACGCCGAGTGTTGTGGGTTCAGACCCCACATGGGACGACACTTTGTGTGATCCACAAATTGTTGTTCTGAGTCTGGGTGTTCTTTGTGTCCGTTTCATGTATGTTTGTAAAGTCCCCCGCGACACAGGAATGTATTCCTAATGCGGGAGTTGTCTTTTTAAAATATAATAATAAAATATAATAATATTATACATAAAAAACACCCATACTATATACTGTAAATACCAAATTCATCCACCCTGTGTATCTATTGTGGCTAACTATTATTGGTTATTCATGTAATCTTAGTTAAGTACCTAGTTAAGATTTAGGAGCCATTGTTATCCTTAAAAATAAATAAAGTAATTCTCTCAAGGCGATTGTGTATAAGTAAACAATATGGACAAATAGAACAAGTAATACAAATAATGCTATATAAACATCCTTTGGACCAGTAAACTTCCTACGTTTGTACATCGTCCGGTTAAAACGCTATGGAGTACTTCATGTGTATGGTACCATCACGCCTCTCTTTTCTTTCTTTCTCTTTTTTTAAAAGACAACTCCCGCACTAGGAATATATCCTTTATCGCGGAGGACTTTACAAACATACATGAAACGGACACAAAGAACACCCAGACTCAGAACGACAATTTGTGGATGACACGCCGAGTGTTGTGGGTTTCGTCCCATGTGGGGATCGAACCCACAACACTCGGCGTATTGCCACCCGCGCAGTTATCTACATCTTACAAAGTAAATTAGAAGTGTTGTCGTCAGTAAAATCTAACAAACAACATTTTTCTTTCTACTTTTGTTTTTAGTATAAGATGGCCAACGAGGGGGCCATGGGGTGTCGCCCTCCACCTAGAAACAAAGGGAGGGGAAGGGATAGGAATACGGTAACCTCATTCAGTGAAAAGCAATGTAATAACTGCTAATAGTGATCCTGACTGCTATTCCAAAGGTCGCGGGTTCGATTCCCGCTCAAGTCAAACATTTGTGTGCATGAACATTTAATGTTTGATTTGGTTTGGGTGTTTCTATGTATAATATGTATGTATTTACAAAAGTATTTAAAAAAGTATATATAGTTTTATATCGGTTGTCTAGTACCCATAGTACAAGCTCTGCTAAGTTTGGGACTAGATGGCGTTGTGTGTATGTGGTAGAATATATTATTATTATTATTACATATGACTGTGCGATGTGCACGTTCACTTGTTCTGTGTTCGGTTGTAATCTATCTATACTAATATTATAAAGCTGAAGAGTTTGTTTGTTTGTTTGGTTGTTTGTTTGTTTGAACGCGCTAATCTCAGGAACTACTGGTCCGATTTGAACAATTCTTTCAGTGTTAGATAGCCCATTTATCGAGGAAGGCTATAGGCTATATATCATCACGCTAAGACCAATAGGAGCGGAGCACCAATGAAGAATGTTTCAAAAACGGAGAAAATTTATTACTATTGAGAGACGCAGACGAAGTTGCGCGGGTCAGCTAGTCTATATATATATATATAAGAGATTTCCACGTATATAGTCACTCATCACGACATCTCTGGAACCATTAGAGCTAAAGACTTGAAATTTGGTAGGCATATTCTTTTCACCGAGTAGAGGTCAGCTAAGAACGGATTTTAAGAAATTAAAAACAAAAAATTAAATAATGTAAATAGCAAAACAACGTTTGCAGGGTCAGCTAGTCTATATTATGTATGAATGTGTTTGATTTAAATTTTTGTTATTGAATTATTTGTCCTCAAATAGGTGTCAGGGTATTAATTTGAGTAAAATCTACATAAAAAAAAACCAGGGAATTAGGGTGGAAAATCAAGGGATGAAAAACACTACTTATATCAATGTATCATGGTTTAACACTCTTTTAAATGTAAATTAAATAATTCAAGCGGTGTTGCCATCAAACTATTAATTCTGAAATTTTATTTTATTTTATTATCATTGCATACGGATGTAGCAATAATTTTTACGACATTTGTAATAAAAAAATTAAGTAAATATTATAGGTGACCTGGTATTCCCGCTTTCGAAGGTCACGTCGCAACTCACAGGTTTAATTCCCGTGCGGTACAAAAATGTGTATGCTTAAATGTCTGTCTGGGTTGTTCTACGTATCTAAATAAGTATATAATATATCCGTGTCCTACAGCTCACAGTAAAAGCTCTGCTTAGTTTTAATTATAACTTAGATAAAATTAATCACCTCACACCTCACACACGGCAGTGTGATCCCAAACTAGGCAGAGCCTGTACTATGGTAACTAGCCTTTTTTTATGTTAGATGGCGCAGACGAGCAGACGGGTCACCTGATGGAAAGTGACTATCGCCGCCCATGAACGTCTGCAACTCAGGAGTCACAAACGCGTTGCCGGCCTCTTAGGAAGGACGCTCCTTTCTTGAAGATTATTTATTATTAGAAGATTATTATTGTATACTAGCTGACCCGGCAAACGTTGCTTTGCCTAAAAAAATATTTAGGGATGGGTCACCCTTACCATTTAGGGGTATAAAAAATAGATGTTGGCCGATTCTCAGATATACCCGATGTGCACACAAAATTTCATGAGAATCGGTCAAGCCGTTTCGGAGGAGTACGGGAACGAACATTGTGACACGAGAATTTTAAATACTCGTATAAGATTATTTGATTTAGACTGCTAATAAACATACTTATATATTACTAAATAGATATAATGTCCATACTATTATAAATGCGAAAGTGTGTTTGTCTGTCTTTCTGTCTGTCTGTTACTTCTTCACGATTTAACAGCCGATTTAGATAAAATAGAGAATTTGGTATAGAGATAGTTCGAGTCCCGGTAAAGGACATATCATAGTTTTTATCCTAGAAATCATCCTTTAAGGGGGTGAAAAGGTGGGTGAAAGTTTGTATGGGATATCAATAACCGCTAAACCGATTTAGATGGAATTTGGTATGGAGATAGTATGAGTCTTGAGGAAGGACATAGGCTACATCACCCAATTGTTTGTTCTAGGTGGGACTAGAACCCACGACAGAGGGTCTTAGCAGACAGGATCACTATCCTTACTCTGGTTTAGTCTTAGCGACTCTAATTATTTAGCCAGAGGTCGTGGGTCCGATTCCCACCCGGGACAAATAATGTGTGATTATCATTTGTTGTGTGTTTGAGTGTAATTAACCAAAATTATGTAGGTTATTTATAGTTTAGTATGTCCGAAAATATATTTATTAATATTTTCGGATACAAGGCCATCTAGTTTCAAGCTAAGCAGAACTTGTATTATGAAAGTTAGATTGACTGATAGAATGCTTATGTAGTTTTTTTTTTAATACATACATATTATACATAGAGAACACCAAAATTCCGAAACAAATATTTGCATATCATACAAACATTTGGTCCAACCCGGGAATCAAACCCGAGATCTCTGCAGTCGCATACGCTACCACTGCACCATCGAGGCAGTTTAGAAACAAATGTACATAATATGTCTCCGGTTGATGTCACTAAGCATGCCATCTACTTCGTAAGTGGGTTTAAAATTATAGTCCGCTAAATGTGGGCGTTTTATACAACTCTGTCTGCCTACTTTAGTGACGTAAAGGTGAGTTTGAGTATGTGTGTGTGTGTGTGTGTGTGTGTGTGTGTGCGTGTGTATGTGTGTGTGTGCGTGTGCGTGTGCGTGTGTATGTATGGTATATGGGGACAAACGAGCAGACGGGTCACGTCATGTTAAGTGATTACCGCCACCCATGGATAAAATAACATCTTACATCTCCTTATGACATACATCAGTTCAGAAATTTTAACAAATTAATTTGACATATTATAGTTGGCATTTTTTTTATTATTATTATTTCTTCATTTTGTATTATTTAATTTTACAATTGTATTATTATTTAGAACAATGACACAACTGAATATTCTTTGGTTTCTATTATAATTATTGTTAATTTTTGCATGCTGTGACATTCAGCTTAATATGGTGTTACATGATATGGAAATTATTGCTACTTTTAAATCATATTCATTTGGTTGTGATTTCGTCATCGACAAAGAAAAATTGGCATTAAAATCACTCAAAATTCTTTTTATCAAAGATTACACCCTTTTTTGTAGATTTATGCATTTCGTCTTGCGCCTGCGTAATAATAATAATTAAGTAGCAATGGTTTTGTATATCAGTCACAGGTACGATGATATGATTTATAAATTTTATGATTTAACACATGCGATTGTAATTTTATTCACCAGCTGTATCTGCTTCATCTGTTTATTGTATAACCCACATAGCAAATAAAATTGAATTGACTTGAAATGAACATCGGCAACTGTAGAGTCACAAGTGGGTTGCGGCTTTTTAAGTTCCTCCCCATGGAGTCAGGGGGAGAAGAGTTTGGTTTGGGGTAACCTCACTTTTTCAAGTTTTCTTTTCTTTTGGTTAAAGATTTAAAGTCAAGGGAATCAAATGATATGTCGAAATTATCTAAAAGTGCACGGTGCAAGTGATGAATA